CTGTTGTGGCCTCTCCCGTTGCGGGGCACAGGCTCAGCGGCCATGGCTCATGGGCCCAGCCACTCCGCGGCATGTGGGATCCTCCCGGACCGGGGCACGAACCCGTGTCCCCTGCATCGGCAGGTGGACTCTCAACCACTGCGCCACCAGGGAAGCCCTTGTCTGTCTTTTTGATCCTAACCATCCTGTTGGGGAGATGAGGTGCTATCTCAGTGTGAGTTTGATTTGCATTTCCGTGATGGCTGGTGACCATGAGCATCTTTTCATGTGCTTATTAGCCATTTGTATGTTGTCTTTAGAGAAGTGTCAATTCTTTTTTTTTTTTTTTGGTCTCGCCCTATGGCTTGTGGGATCCTAGTTCCCTAACCAGGGATCAAACTCAGGCCCTCGCAGTTAGAGCGCGGAGTCCTAACCACTGGACCACCAGGGAATTCCCTTTTTTTTTTTTTTTGGAAGTGTCTATTGCCAGGGTGGTATGGAGAGTTCCCATGTACCTTCACACAGCTCCCCCTTGGGCAGTGTTCTTAGCCTTTTAAAAAAATTATCACCCCCTTTTTAGGCATTTTTTCCCTAATCAACCTTTCCCATGAAATTCTTTTTTTTGGGGGGGAGACTACTATTTTTTAAAACTTTAAATTTTAAACAAATTACGGACTCATAAGAAGTTGCAAAGACAGGGCAGAGTCCCATGTAGCCACCGCCCAGCCTCCCCCTCGGTGGCAGCTCATATAACTATAGAAACAGAGGGCAGGGGTTTTCGCTGAAGTCACTTAGCAGGGTTTTTGCCAAAACTGTGCAATGCAGAGACAAACTCGGGAGCCCAAAGGTCGAAGCCTAGTTGGGACGAGGGATCAGAGGGGCCTAACGTTTGGTCAAGGACAGAGTCCTGTCACTGTGGAGAATTCCAGAATCAGCACAGCCCAGATCCACCTGGAGCTCTCCCGCTGGAAGGCAGGGGGTCCCCTGGGTATGTGGGGAGCTCAGAATTCCCCGCGGGCATTCAGGGCCACGTGCTCCTGTTTCTCATAAGGGGGGGCAGGCCCATCTAGATCCTTCCTGCTACAGCATGGAGCAGTTTGGGCAGTTTGGCCTAAGAAAGGAGGCCGGGGAGGGATTTGGCTGTGGGGAGGGAGAGGTGAATCTGATTGATGCAGAGCCTGGGGATGGGGGGTCTGAACTGAGCCTTCCAAAACGTGGGCCTGGGAGGTCCTACTGGTTTGAATTGTGTCCCGCGCCCCCAAATTCACGTCCACCCAGAAACTCAGAATGTGACCTTTTTTGGAAACAGTCTTTGTAGATGTCATTAGTTAAGATGAGGTCATCCTGGAGTGGGGTGGGGGTGGGGTCCCTAAGCCAGTGGCTGGTGTCCTTATAAGAAGAGGAGAGAGATGCACAGAGACAGAGAGAAGGGGAGGCAGAGACTGGAGTGATGGCCACAAGTCAAGGATGCCTGGAGCCCCCAGAAGATGGAAGAGGCAGGAAGGACCTTGCCCTGGAGCCTTCAGAGGGGGCATGGCTCTGCCACACCTGCATCTCAGGCTTCCAGCCTCCAGAACTGAGAGAAAATAAATTTCTGAGGTTTTAAGCCCCCTAGTGTGTGGTCATTTGTTACAGCTGCCCTGGGATGCTAATACAGAGCGCTTCACAGTAGAACTTGTGTGCTTCCAAGACCTTCTGTATCTTCATCCAGAAAATGGAGCCATTAAGGCCCCTGGCCTGTCCTGGCTTCCATGACCATCCTCTGTGGCGGGGGTCATCTCAAGTGGTGGAGGGGATTCTGGGGTCTGGGGACAGGCTGGGTCTGGTCTTCACTCTGCCTTTCCTCTCCTGCAGCCCTTCCTGCCCGGGAAGCTGCTTTTGCCCAGGAGGGTGGAGAGGATGGCTGCTGGGTGCCTGCTCCCCTGGCCCCAGTGGGGTTTCCTCTTCCCCCGAAAGGCACCCAGTATGTCCAGAGGGAACACACCTGTCAGAAGCGGAGTGCCCTTGCTTTGTGGGAAAGGTGGGAGAATTCACCATGAGTGTCTAGGTCCAGGCACTCAGGCTCCTCCTAAGTGTAGGGAGAGGTGCACTGTATCCCCAGAGGAGGGCTGTGCTTCCTTCCCAGGGCCTGGAACGTCTCTGTACCACCTGAAGACCCTGCAGTTACCCCCATAGGACAGGGAGGGCCCCCCCCCCCGCAAGGTGCCGTCCTCTTTAAAACATTTATATTTTTAAAAATTGTGGTGAAATACACATAACATTAAATTTATCATCTTAACCATTTTTCCTCTTTCAAAAAAATTTTTATTGTGGTTAAATACATATAAAGTTTACCATTTTAACCATTTTTAAGTGCACAGCTCAGTGGCTTTAAGTACATTCACACTGTCGTGCAGCCATCCCCACCTTCCGTCTCCAGAACTTTCTCATCCTCCCAAACTGAAGCTCTGTCCCCATGAAACACTGGCTCCCCAGCCCCTCCCCCAGCCCCTGGCCCCCACCATCTACTTCCTGTCTCTGTGGATGTGACTCCTCTAGGGACCTCCTGTGAGTGGAATCAGACAGTATTTGTCCTTCTGTGTCTGGCTTATTTCACTGAGCATAATTATTCTCCACATCAGAAAAACAGGGCTGATCCACAGTTCGGTTTCAGGTCCCCTAGGGAAACAAGCCCTTTCTCGTGGACATTTGTAAGTCTCCCAGATGGTCCCCGCAGCATCCGTGAGATTCTCATAGTTAGAAACCTTGGTCAGGTGTCCTGGATCTGCTTTGGTCCTTGAGTCGAAGTCCTGGTTTTTGCGCCTGGACCCGCTCTCAGGTCAGCCTGGCTGAAACAGCCCACACGGACACGGTCAGGTTTCAGCGCGGAGCTTTGCAAAAAGCAAAGTTGTGTCCCACTAAGACTTTTTTTCCCACCTTTCCCTGATTGGAATGATCTCTCTGTTATGAAATT